TTTCAGAGTCAATGAAAGAAAATCACACCTCAGATTTTAGAAAATTTTTCTCTAATTACTCTATGTACAAATTGGAGGTTATCTATCAAAGAAACTAGGAAGATGGAGCTCCCTGAGGCCAGTACACCAATATCTACGCCTTCATTTCAGAACTCACCGTGAACACTTAATTTAACAGACTGAGTCACGTTCCCAGCAATGTTTGTGGCCACGCAGAGGTACATCCCACTGTCTGAAACGCGGGCCTCTGTGATCTTCATTGAGCCAGAAGGGAGGAACATGTGTCTAAAAGAAAGAAACCGCATAGTTGACTACAGAACACAAGAATTTAAATAGCCCCCTATGCACTGTGGAGTTACTACTCTGCAAGCAGGTTTTGAAACTGTTTTCCCAGCTATAATGTCTTTTTATGTACCTTAAAAGTCAGCTTACGTGCATAATTATCTTGTGTAGTCTGTATGATGCGCTTGCAAATACAAAATCAGTTTTATTTTTCTTTTAAACCTACCCTAATGGTCTGAAATCATCAAGTAACTGCACATCTCTGGTTTATCAAGCTGCAGGTATACAAAGCAAATTGATATATTTTGAATACTTTATTCTTTTTCTACAAAGTTATTTAAAATTTTAGTATGCTAAAATCAAGGCAAAAGAAGGTGTATGTGTAATTCTTGAATATATATTGAATATATTCCTCCTATAGAACCATAATGTAGTTGGGTGAACCACACCCACACATAAAAACTTTATTATATTAACTGCACTAAAAATTTTATTCTATTAATGGTACTAAAAAACAGAGACAACAAAGCAATGTTATTAAGAACAAAGGCCCAATTTGCACATTCAAAAAGAAAAAAGCAAGTCACCGAAAACTGTGCAGGATGTTTAAAGAGGCAATTCTGAGATAACACAAATGGCTAACAAGCAAGTGGGAGCATTCTGGGCTCCTTGGAAGCCGGTCCCATGAAACCAAGACAGAGGCAAGGAATCATTGTACAGCCATCTGACGGGCAAAAATGGGTAAGTCAGTCAACATCATGCATTGACTATAATGTAGAAACAGGTTCACCTAGATCCTATTGGTGTGAGAGCTAACCAATACTACCCCTTTGGAGAGCAACTCAGCAATGTCTACAAAGCTGAAAACAGGAATTCCTTCTGACTGGAAATTGTAGTGGTAGGTACAGTTCTTAAAGAAACTCATGCATAGGTATATAGAGAAACATAGAAAAAGATAATCACTGAAAAGTCTTGTTTGTAAAACCAAAAGAAAAAAGAAAAAGAAAACAGGAAAGAAATGGAAAGCAAACAAGAACATGCATGTCCATAAATAGGGAAATGTATATACAAAATGTAGAATATACATGAGGTAGTTAAGTTAAATAAACTAAATCTATATGTATAAAAATGGGTCAACATTAAAATAATAATATATAATATTACTAATATAGTAATATATAATATATAATAATAATATATAATATGTTACAATGGCAAATTAAAAACACTCAAAACAACATTTAAAACACAGGCCCTGGCCAGTGTGGCTCAGTTGGTTGGAGTGTGGAGTGCTATCCTGAACACCAGAAGGTGGAGGGCTTGATTCCTGGTCAAGGCACATACCCAGGTTTTGAGTCACATCCCTGGATGGGGCATTTGTGGGTGGCAACTGATCAGTGTTTCTCACATCTATGTTTCTCTCTCTCTCTCTCTCATCTTTCTCTCTGCCTGTCACTCTAAAATAAAATTAAAATTAAACACAGAAAACAATATTCTATTCTATACTATGCACGTGTAGGATGCACACCAAGTCCTTGGCAGTGCTTACCCTGGGAAGAAAGAAGAGATTAAGGAGGGGAACAATGAAACTTCAACTTTATCTATAAGAGTATTTCTTTTATTAGAAATTATCCAAAGCAAACGTTTTTTCAAAGAAATAGTAAAATTATGCAAAGTTCTTCTTGCTTATCTTTTCTTTCATTAGTGGAAGCAAATCTACTGTAGCATGAATTTATATCTTCGTAACTATGCATCAATAAGTGTAACAGACAATGGCTAAAGGCTATAATTCATATTCCACCAGTAACTTTTGGCATAATACTGAATTAAAATAGTAATTGCTATCATCTTTTTAGAACTAGAGACAAGGAGTGTGTAATATATATTATCTTATATAATCCTTCAGGGAAGTATTATCCACATTTTATAAACAAGAAATCTGAAGCACAGAGATCCAGTGGAAAAACTGCCAAAAGTCGCAGGCAAGCTTTAAGAGGCAGAGGTAAATTTAACATCTGCATGGAACAAAGGTTGTGCTCTTAAAGGCTCTGGCATTCTGCTTTCCATGTCACTTGACTTATCAAGTATATTGTCTCCGTGGGCCTTTATTTGTACAAGGGTTTAGTCAACAAGATTTTTACAAAACCATCCAATAAAAATCAAATCCCAGACATCAGAGTATCTATTGTGTTTTATTCTCCGGTGGGACTCATGGAATCTATGTGTAATATGCACTTTGTGCCACCATGAATCTCTGTACAAATAGGCTCCGTTTTAATAACCACCTCGTCAGATGAACCTGTGAAAAATTATGTGATAGCTGAGTGTTAGCGTTTCTGATACTAAAGAATGATCTAGAAGGCATATCTAGTTTCTACAGGCTCAAATGTACATGTGACTCACCTCAAACGCAAGTTGTTTTTTGAAACAACTGAAAAGAGGACTAGGTACAACCCTCTACCCTGGGACACTGTTACCGTGGGTTGCAATTCATCCCAGGTCTCCTACCTTGGAGAGAATGGTGAGATGAGCTGACTTTCTTTGGCCCAGGTGATTATGGGTGGGGGCAAGCTCTTCACTTCACAGGGAAGGGTCACCTCTTCCCCGGCAAGGGCAGCGATCTCAACAGGCTTATCGTGGGACAGTCCTCTTTGATCTCCAAACACTCTGGGCCTTACTAAAATAAATGCATGTTTCAGAAGGGAAACAGTACATTGAAAACATTCAATTTGCAATACAATGTGGACTGCAAATATTCTTAAATCACTTATAAAAAGATACTGCTTATTTCAAAGGTTTGGGGGCGTATCTAAAATTTTCCAGAAATGCGATTGTCAGAGCTGAAAGGAAAATGACTAGCAAGTTTCCCTTTTTAGCTCTTCCTTGACCATGGAGAGGCTAATTGAAATGCCCTCTCAGAGTCTGCCATCTGTAAAAGGAACCCTGAAGGCGGAGCGCTAACCAAGTCACAGCTGAAATTTGGCTTCCATGGGAGTTTTAAGGAACTGGTGTTTCTGAAGAGGGTTGGGTGCAATGAGCATATTCCTTAAGACAGTGGCCGGCAAACTGTGGCTCGCAAGCCACATGCAGCTCTTTGGCCCCTTGAGTGTGACAAAATACCGACTTCTGCGCATGGGCCACGAAGTTTCAATTGCACTGTACGTGCGTGCCCGCACGTGGTATTTTGTGGAAGAGCCACACTCAAGGGGCCAAAGAGCCGCATGTGGCTCGTGAGCCGCTTGCCGACCACTGCCTTAAGACAAAACCACAAAATGTTTCCAAAAGGCCACACAATTACTCTCCTTTTAAATCAGAATCTAAATAGGGGAGATGTTGGTTGGCAGTAAGAAATATAAACCTGGGGGGCCTGGCTGGCAGGGCTCAGTGGTTGAGCACCGACCTATGAACCAAGAGGTCCTGATTCGATTCCCAGGCAGGACACATGCCCCAGTTGTGGGCTTGATCCTCAGTGTGGGGCACGCAGGAGGCGGCCAATCAATGATTCTCTCTCATCATCGATGTTTCTCTCTCTCCCTCTCCCCTCTTCGCTGAAATCAATAAAAAATATTTAAAAGAAAAGAAATATAAACCTGGGGGAATAGTTCACTTTAGGGCATAGTCTTCTGGTAACATTATCTGGGAGAGACGTGAGTTTTGGCACAGAGACAGCATGGGAGAAAGACATTCCTCCTCGAGCTCTCACCATACACGGTCAGCTGCACTTTCCTTTTGGCGTAGCCAGCGGCATTGGTGGCCGTGCAGACATACTCCCCACTCTCCTCGCCCCCAGGTGACACCACATACAAACTCCCATCAGCCCCCGCGGAAAACTTAGCATTGCTGGTGGAAATCAGCTCGCCTTTCTGCAAAACACAACCCAGAGCAAAGTGTTTTTAAGATAATAAAGAGTGACTTCATGTCTGGAAGAGGAAGAAAAAAATTCTCCAAGGGGGGGAAAACACACAAGATTAAAAAACACACACTGATTTGAAGAAAGTTATTTGCAAGAAAGATTAAAAAAATAAAGGTGGTAGTTCTTCATATCAAACTATGCCCCTTTCATTCCAAAGCGACTGAACAATGGAGGGATCATGCTGACAGTGCCCATTCTAAGCCAGGCACAGTTTTGAGCACTTCTCATCAATTAACTATTTTCGGTCTCAAAACAGCCTTAGGAATAGGAACTATCACAACCCCCACTTTACAGCTAGGGGGCAGTGTGGAGTCACAGTCAGTCCCTGGGAGAGCTGGCCTGGAACCCCAGCAGTCAGTCTCAGGAGCCCACATGCTCAACCTCTGGGCTTGGTCTCAGCACAAAGGCCGGCCTGGAAAGAAGATTTCCATTTTACATTTTCCTAAAAGGTGCCCTAACCTTCTACTCCGTAGCAGACTTGGGATCAGCCTGGGATCAGCTTCACTGTTGTACGTTTGCATCCAGATGCAGAAATCAAATTTTTTTTTTTTTTTTTACCGAGGTCAACACCAACTCCTCTATATTTCAGAGGTGTGTTTTTTTCAGACGTAAAACATTAGATCGTATGACAAAGTACTTTGGTGTAACAGTAATGATACAAACGCCACATTTCATTATTATGCCATCATTTCATGTTACTTTATATCTGCCAAGTTAAAATTAATTTACAGAAAATATGCCATCTTCATGGCTGTTCAAGGATGGGAAGGACATCCTCCGTAAATGAGCTTTTCCTCACTGCAAGAACACGAGTAAAAGCCGTACAACTTCAGACAGGGATATGGAGGGGGACTAAATGGGCTCGTGTATGTGTCTTCCCGGAAGAGCAGAGTCTGGGACAAAGATTTGGAGGCAGCAAGGTTACTTGGGACGTGATCCCTAGGGGCTTGAGTGAAGCACTGAAGGATGGAGAGCTAACAAAGGGCTTCCCTGATCTGTTTCCGCTGTGGCTGGGCTGAGAAGTTTCTCTGTGCTGGGGACCCTCCAAGAAACTGGGGGATGCATTTCAGAAAGACTCTTCTGATGGATGAGAAGTGAGGTATTTATGTAGGACACCTGCCCCCAACAGGAGTTATTCCCACTGCACTTCCTGGACACCTCTTAGCAGGTTGAGTGGCCTTGGAGAAAGTCCTGAGTCCAAACTGCATGGCACGTGACCTTAGCGGACTGCACGGAGCTGTCCACAGAGATGCGCTGAAATCCAAAGGGCTTAGGGGAAATGGCAAGGGGTAGTAAAATGAGACCTGCGACCACATGGAAGGTGCTTAGAAAGTTCCAGGGCATGCAGACGGTGCTCTATTCGTGTTCCCTGTCCTGTTGTGAATACCATTCAAACATCAGGTAGGTGAGTGTGATAAGAACATTTTAGGGTCCCTTCCAAGTGGTATGACTGTATAGATTTTCCTTTTTGTAAGGTTTTATGGTACAGTCACAAGTTGCATGGATGACTAATAATATTGTTAGAGCTCATAACATGAACACACATCACTCAATGTGCCATTTACCTTGGACCAGGTGATAGATGGTTTGGGAATGCCACTGGCTTTGCAGGGTAGAGTTACTGGGATGCCTTCAATTGTACTGAGTATCTGCTGCCCGTGCTGAATGGTTGGCAGAACTGAAAAAGGAAGCAGTATTCAGAATCTGAGCATCTGTCCTCTCATTTAGTGCTATCGCTTTAGAGTTGAACATTTTTTAGGATTTCCTGACTATTTGTAAAAATTAGCAAAGACTCAACATTTTTCTGATAGAAACATAGGGTAATTTGTAAGGGAGTGTAATAAAAAAAGCAAATACAATAGTTATGATCTGAAGCGTTTAATAAAAGTTTAAAATCAAGTAATGACGTATGTGTAATAGGCTGACTTTTCTAACAAAAGTAAGAGAGGACGGAGGAAAACCTTTTTGCCCCCATGGAAACTCAAGATAAAATTACATCCTAAGCATTTGCACATTGAGCACCTATCTTTCATCATTCTCTATCACTCATTAAGCTGCAGTGAGCTGACATAAGCCTACCTCCGGAGAAATGGGCTCTTTAGACACTACACACATTAAACATTTGTCTATACCCAAGAACCACTGAGCAAACTACTACATTTAACCTGGAAAAAGGGGATTTTCTTAAAAAGGAATTCAACAGTAAAACTTGAAAGGCTTAGGAGTTTACATTTTAAAAGACTAAAATAAAGGATTCTAAGTCAATGTTTTTAAGAAACATTTTGACTTTAGTAGACAACTGAAGAATTAACATTTATAGGAGTAGAAGCAAAAGGAAAAGGAAGCATGCCCATCATCCCATGCTGTGTATATCTCCATTAATTACAACCAACTTGCATATAAAAGCTATCGATAATCAACGTTCTCAAAGTAATGAATTGGATTTAAAAATCTTCCATACATAGAAGTTCCTAACCTGGTGCAAGAAACACAATAAAAAAATCAACAATACCAGGCATTTGCTTTCCTTCCCATGGGAAGATGAGACTAGAGCTCAAACCCTCACTGTGTCTCTTGTCTTTAAGTCAAAATTTTCTAGAATTATCACAGCTACCATGCAGCAGAAATTTATCAGAACAAGAGATACCAGGGACCTTAGTGCAAAAACTTCCTGGGAGGCTTCGATTAGCTTTGCTACATACTCATATTTTCCGAGGGCTGTTTATTCTTTAGATAATTTATTCCTAAAGAATTGGCAGCAAATCCCCAAGAATGTCAGGCTACTCTCTAACGCAAGAAATGGAATTTCCAGGATCATCATGGATTAGTCAGCTTTCAACCGTGCTGTCATTTTGTGGCCACATAGAATAAGCCATATTCTTAAATCCATATTAAGTTTGACAGCTATGAAGGAAAGTAGCAAATTTAGGCAATGTTTTCAAATCTGATGTCATCGGAGTATGGAAGGGCTGTTTCTTTCCAGATTGTCAATCTATGTAAATCAACATGACAAGTAAATGGTTTATTTCTCATTTTAATTTGCATTTATATTTACATCCATTAACTCATTCTTTTAAGAATTGATTGAGAGCCTTTAGTGACGATTCTTAAAGGTGATGAAAGAGCTGCAATGCTTTTTAACATAAATACAGAGCCTGAGACTCTGTATCACATCCAGCTCAAAGACAAATCAGTGGGTTAAATGGATGCTTGGTTGAGTTAAAGTCAAGTGGCTGGCTGATGTTTCTTTAACCTTATTGACTAAATCAGTTACTCATTTTGGACTAATACGGATGAAATAATGTCCAAATGACATTTTAACCTTTTACTTGTTAAAATTTATTGCATCAGGATAAACCGTATCATTGGTTTATGTCTTCTTTCCAGTCCTCTGATCTTTTCAGACATCACAACTAATTGTGTCCAAGTGAAAATGTGCCTCAGAATCCTTCCCAACACCATATTCTAGGCAGTTGACAGAAGCCAAAGGGAGATGACGTGGATGTACTTCTACGCTGGATTCTCAAACCAGTCCATAAATACTCTCCAGGAAATATGTGAACTGATCTTTGAAAATAGTTCAACACAACTATATCCAATTCTCTCTTTCTCTCTCCATATATATGTTTATTTGGACCATACTAATTTAGTGTTATATTAGTATTTCTTCAAAAAAATATTTCTTCAAGAATAACTCATATGATATTTGTGAAAGTTAATCTAAGATTGAGACAGTAGAAGGGGCTATTTTCAATGAGAAACAGATATTTTTAAAAAGATGCTCTATAAATGTCTAACGATTGCTGTATACCTGAAATTAATATAATATTGTCAGCTGTAATTAAATAAATTTTTAAAAATGTTTAAAAAGATGATCATTTTAAAAGAAGATGGTCGGCATCCACTGAAAATTTCAATAGACCAAGCAAAACTTGGAAATTACTTCATTCTCCAATTTATGTCCTGAAAAATGACTGAATTATCCACTTAAAATAAATGTTCTGTGATACTTTCATCTGTGTACACAGAACTCCTTTGTAATACCACACTTTACGAAAAGCAATGTTGCAAAGTCTTTAAAGGGAATAGACCAAAAAAAAAAAAAAAGTTAGGATAGTATCTTAAACTATGAAGCTGTCACTTATTTATCGAGATGTAAAAACTTGGTAACTGTTAGTCATGAAGGGCAAAAGCTAGCTTCTGGATTTTCTTCCTTGTGACTGTTAGTTAACATGCAAAAATAAAAGATTGTTTGGAGCACATTGGTGACCTTTAGAAAAGCTGAGGTCATTTCTAGCTAACACACAAAGGGGTCATTAGTAAGGACATCCATGGTTCACAATCCAAAAAGAAAAGGCGATTTAGATAGAATGATAAATTCAGCTTGCCTGAAATTCAAATGTATTTTTAAACATAACTCTTTGAGAACTGAGTTCACTTTATCAATTAAGAAACCTCTTTCAAAAGCCCATGCCAGACTCAGCTAAGCGAATCTCAAGAATGCCTTTCTGTGCATATAGGAGAGGATAATCTGGAAACAGCCTGAACCATGTAAATATTATTCAACACATAAAGCTTCTTTATTAACAATGACAATCAGGAAAGAGATCTACTTGTTTTAACCAGAGGAACAGAATTCTTTGATTAGTAACTATATGAACCCAGCTTCGACCGTGGCTTGGAAAGAAGGACAAAGGGTGTGTCTCTTACCATGCACATCCACAGTGGTTGTTTTGTTAATGGTTCCAGCAACGTTACTGGCCACACAAGTATATTCACCTCCATCCTGAAGGCGAACTCTTTCAATATGGAGACTCCCATCACTGCGTACGGTGATGTAAGGATTTTGGACCAACTTAAAGAAAAAAAACCATTTTTAATTAAAAAGGCAATGTTGCCTAAGCCAAAAATGGAATCTGCTTTTTTTCAACTGGGTCACTAAATGTCTTATAAAATAGCAAAATATTTTAACATCCCGAAGTGAAAAACGCTGAGCAAAAATGTTACCAAGGCTAGTGTCAATTGTATGTCATGTTGACATACCACCAAACATGATACCAACTAACACCTGTGAGGGCTGTGCACACACATTGGAAAAAGGAGGGGAAAAACAGAGATGCCACTTGTTTGTTGTTTCTGTAATTTTAATTATTACTCAGGACCCACATTTCCTTCATATTTTTACTTTTGGATTAACTTGTTCTTTTGCAAGAAGTCCTTATGACCACTTGCAAGCCATTCGATATTTTTATTTCGGCCAATAGCACTTATTCAGTGGGCACTTGCTCTCAACACCCACCCTTTTCAGTGACAGCTGCAAATATTAAAGGACCATGTATGAGACGGGAAGAGTGTCCCCTACTTCCTCTGTAGCATTAATGCATTTTGCTTCATCACAGGAGACCTTAGCGCTCAAACAGTATCACCCTATGTTATGAGGGTATTTCTTAAGGATTGAGATATACTCATTTTCTCAGGTTTGTATGCAAATATAAACCTAGTCCATGGACTCAATTCACTTCTTATTGGTACTTCAAGAAGATAGTGAGTCTAACTGCTCTGGAAAATGAAAGCAAAATGCTATGAACTAGGTGGAAGTGTATTGCCATAGATACATGTTGCAGAAGAAATCCACAGAAATGAGAAAATCTTCCACATTCTTTCATAATTAAAAGGTGTACCCTAAAAGACAATGACACAAAATAGATTCCCACCTTGAAATAGTTCATAAAAGACACAACATTTAAAGTTAATAATAAAGATTAATATCTAAAATGGAAGACTTTTTATGAGAAAATTAACACTTCATTGTCTTGCAAAGAAGTATATTTAAACGCTATGAAAATAACTTCATACCTGTTTCAGTTTTTACAAATTCTGAAAAGAATGTATTTTATTAAATTGAATGCAAAATTATAAAAATTACACTATTGACTATTTCTCCATCTTATTCATTCCAAAGTCATATGAATTACATAAACATGTTAACACTGAAGAAAAGTTTTGGTACACTTACAAAATATATATATTTTTGCATATTTATCAAATTGAAATTTCAAAAGTTGGACTACATTGCCTCTTACTCAGGAAAATTAGGAGGTGAGTGCGTGAGTTTAAAAATGTTCTTACCGTGGCTGAATTCCTAATCCACCGGCGTTCTGGAATGGGATTCCCAGCCAATAGAGCACAAGGCAAAGTAAGCTGCTGTCCTTCGATTACACTGGTCACTGAAGGGCTGATTCCAATGAGGGGAGCAACTGAGTCAGAGAGAGCACAGGCGCTAAGGACTCTATGTCACCCAAGGGAAGACAAACTCTTTCATAGGCCAATATGCCTACTCAGTAAGATATCTTAAAAATAACTTGTCAGGAACAAAAATTTAAACATGTAAATGGATATGAACTGGAAAATAGAGATAAAGGGCCCTTCTGAGCCGAGAGAATGGCAAGAGGACAGGTATTATATAAGTAAGAAAGTAAAATAGAATACACCGATGGCTTGGGAGGCCAGGAAGGTCAAGCTAAGGAACTGGCAGAGTATTCAACAGACAGATGGAGAGTGGCTGAATGCATTTATAAATAGAAAAAAGGAATCACCAGAACCAGTATTTCAGGAAATACTAATCTGTTTCTATTTTGTTTGCTTTGTTTAGTATGTCCATTAGATTCCACATAGAGGAGAAATCCCATGGCACATGCCTTTCCGACATTTCACTTAGCATAGTACTCTCCAGGTCAATCCATGCTGTCGCAAAAGATAAGATTTCCTTCTGAAAACCGTGAAGAGGACTTACTGGAGAAGGGAAAACTTATTGGAAAAGGGATGAGATTGGCGAGGGAACTGTCATTTGCTAGATCAAATAAAATGAGGGGACTCCCCGAGATGGCATGGTAAAGAAGTATTGGAAAGTATTGGAAAGATGTCCTTTTCTAAAAATCAATGAGTAAATCTGACATAAGTCAAAGCAAAATCCATAAGAGATTCTACTTGGAAAGTTTAAGTACATGTAGATGAATAAAGGGAGATTCACGAAGAAAAATTTATGAAAGTGTATGGATGAGGAGCAGGCTCTGACAGTTTTAAAAATCACACTAACTACAATGAAAACAATGTGGAACTTGTGCATCAATAGAGTCCCAAGAAATAAAGGTAGGGATACAAATTCAGCATGTGACCAAATGGGCATTTTAATCAGTGGGAAGAGAATATTCAATAAAAGAAATTGAAACACATGTCTTAATACTTAGAAATCTACTATATTATATTCTTACTTTATATCCTACACAAAAATAACTCCATGTGAGTTAAAGTAGTAAATCTGCAAAAGGTAAACAAAAAGAACACCACTACTCTCATATGTGTGTGCATGTGTCTGTGTGTTTATATTTAGACTTAGATCAATTTATTGAGATTGACCTTCATTTCTTCACATGAAAGATGAGGCGCTTGGAGCAGATGATGGCTAAGATTCTTTTCAGTTCTAACAGCTTATGAAATATGAAATACAGGGGGGGAGGGAAGGTTAATCTAGTAATCAGATATGCACCTGCTTCTCTAAAATATAAAAGTGGTACAGGCAAGAGATGATGTAGCAAATGAAGTCTGATGGTTCGGAAGAGTGTGGTGTCTAAGCAGTTAGTGGATCTTACCGAGTCCTGTCACTGTTATTGTTGTCTGGGACTGGATCTTTCCAAAGTGGTTTTCAGCTTCACAGATGTAGGTTCCTTTATCACTTGCCCATAAGTCTAAAAAATAAGAGATCATTTGCCCATTCAACACCATCCCTGGAGCATCAGTTATGTGCTAGGCACAGCGCTGAGAGCTGTGGGTGGATATTATGCTACTGCCTTCTGGTAGTTCCCATTCTAGGGGAGGAGGCATACACAGCAGCCAACACTCATACAACAGCCTGATACATGCTGTAATATGAGTTCCAAACGAGCTGTGGGAGCGGAGAGGGGAGTGACTGATGATGGCAAGGGGGATGAGTTAAGGAAGGCTTCACAGAGCTGTACCGTAAACAGTAGGTGGAGTAGAGGGAGGGCAGTCCAAACTCAATGGGCTGCAAAGGCAAAAACACGACTTAAAAAATTAAGGTCTATTCAAAGAATGGGAAGCTGCACCACCTCCCTGGGGGCAGTCTGAAGGTTGCAGGAGAGATTTCTTTAGTCGGCCCAATGAATAAAGGAGTCGGTTGGCATTTAGTGGTCAAACACTAAGGAGCTAATGCATGGAGTAGATTCACAAAAGGAATAATTATCCCAAGTTCAGCAAGACTTCTGAAGGTCCAACAGGAAACTCATGGATTTGAAGACTTTGTTTATAATTATAGCCTAAGCCTACAACCTAATTCTGGGTAAGTAGGAGGAAGAAGGTACTTTAGCAAGAATTACCCTCCATTTGAAGAAATCACTTCACCAGTTTGGAGTTGCTGAGTCATCAACCCCATACTCCTGTATCAGTCTACATTTAAGCTGTCAAATTCATGGTGATGTACATAAATGTGTATGCATACTGTATAAACGTTACCAGCATAGTCACATAGTAATTGAAATACCTATCATTATAATAAAATTACTTTCCTTTATTTTCCTTTGTGCTACGTTTTGGATATTAAAATTATTTTTATAATGTAGGAGAGATCAAATATATGGAATTTTTCAGGATAATGAAAGGGATATTACAAAAGATTTTTAATTAGAAGGGTTTTGGGGGACTAGGGTGAGGACCCCTGGGTTACAGGTTGTGTGGATACCGTCAGGGGACTGAACCTGAAGAGGTGGCTGGTACCTTATAGAGAGTGTGGTTTTGTCTTGTGAGCAATAGGGGAGGCAAGAGAAGATTTTAAGTAGGGGGAATGATTGTCATCTTTGCAAGGATCACGAATGAAATAAGCACAGCTTAATCGATTGATAAGGTTTTGACAGAGAACAAGGTAGCTTTCCATTATTAATAGCGCCACCACCTCTCAAGTAAACAACAGTGACAACAATCCTACTCCTCTGTTAACCAGAAGCATACTGACTGCAGAACAGCATTTGGGAAACTCAGGCCGTGCCCATACTCAACAACAGCAAACCTTCATTTGCAAAGGACAATACAGCAAATCGCTGGTTAATAAAGCACACATTGCTCTAAGCAAGGTATTTTTGATATTATCAACTCTTGGACTAATTTGTACAGAAATACCACATACTACTGAGAACTAAGTTCCTAATCACTAGTTTCCTGCCCGATGATTTAATTTGGACAACTGTGAGCCTCATCCCTCTCTCTCATCTCTCCTCCTATCCTGCACAGGAGTTTTTCTGAAACAGTATTTTCTTGCCTATGAAGATCGGGGCGGGGTGGGGGGGCAGTAGGGGGAGCCTCTCTTTTCAATCTCATTAAAGGCATTTTTTCACCTGCACATTTCAGGTCCTGCACAATGTGACCCAACCCAGTGCCCATCTCTCGGTAGGCACTTCCGTGGCCATCCACTCAGATGGTGGATTGTAAAATGCCTAGGTTAGGGACCCTATATTTGATGTTTGTCTTCACCACAGAGCCTAGTACAGAGCAGAACACTTAAGCACTTGTAATTAGACAGATGTACTTGTATTTGAAAGTTCAAGTGGCTAATGTACATTTAATATTGGTACTAACCCTGGAAATCAATTATTGGAGGCTTGATACAAAATACTCAAAACATGCAATTACTTTTTAAAAAACCACTTGATCATCTAAATGTTGTTACTCCTGTGGGACCACTGTCCAAATAGTCTATTTTAGAAAGTACACAGTGTTTATACATATCAGAATGCTTAATAGTTTACAGATAGATCTTTTGCATGTTGAAGTATTTGACATTTTATTTTAATCTTTTGCTCCAGGTAGATATAGCTTTTAATCAAGAAGTTTCCATAGGGTATAGGATCCCTATGCATGTGGTTATGTATTTTTTTGGCCAAAATAATCAATGAGAGAGAAACATCAATCAGCTGCCTCCTGCACACTCCCTACTGGGTATGTGCCCGCAACCAAGGTACATGCCCTTGACCGGAATCGAACCTGGGACCTTTAAGTCCGCAGGCTGACGCTGTCACTGAGCCAAACCGGCTAGGGCACTACCAGTAATTTTTTACCTTTCTCTACAATAGCTGCTCCGGGAGTCAATAAAATGTGATCACTTATCCACCCAGAGCCCCAGGTGGCTCTATTTGCAATAGGGAACAATGAGTTATGTGGAAGTCAGATCGCTTCTTGAGCCTTTCTGATATGACATACATTTAAATAATATAATTCATTTATGACAATTCCCAAATATAAGAGTCCAATACTAGTTTAAATTAAAATGCAACCAACACCATTGGGTTGGCAAGATGAATTCACTATTTTAAACTTAGCAACACCTATGCATAGAACATGAATATATAATCTATATGTACATACTTGAATAAAAATATATTTCCTTTAACCTACTTGAAATAAAGAGAGCTCCTGTTCTTAGTTGGCTGATGGAACTCACTGAAAAGGGTCTTGAGAAGATCGGCATGTTGTCTAACCTTCGCCACTTAACCTTTGGTTCTGGATAGCCCTGGACATAGCAAGGTAAAGTCACATTTGAACCGATTTCCATAGACACGTCAGCCGGTTCTTGTATGAAAACTGGAGGTGCTAGAAGATATTTAGAACAACAACAAAGGTCATTGGGAGAGTACACAGGCACATTAAATATAAATTTTATTATTAAACTGTCAACACAGTGAATGTGAATCAAACCACTGTTCACAAGTTATGAAGTTACCATTTTAATATTCCTGTCTGCTATTGAACTAGCAGATGTTTCTTTTTCCTCTATAAATGAAAAGGCCCCAAGAACTTCAACTACCTATTTAAAATGATGATGAAGGGTGAGAATTTAAGTCAAAATTACTTCTTACTCCTTTTAGTGAACCTAATTTATAGCAGAGTTCATTCTTCAACAGATCATTATATAACAAGCTAACAGTATTTAATCCCAATTCATATCCATTCTATGTCACATTCTTTCTTTTCAACTATTTTTTTCCACATTTTTGGGTTAAAGACATTTAAGCTTGAGAATTAATAATACAAGTTAAAGTAACAGATCATAGTATTTGATAAAGTAAAGAGTGCTTAAAATCTTAGAGTTAAGAGATGACTCAGAAATTATAAAAGTATAGGTAAGAAGGCTATAATTATCCATGTAACTCAGGTAACCACCTAAGCCTGAAGGGAGAATTGGAAATATGTCAGGCACACCTTGGAAAACACCAGAATGTAATATAATAAGGATGCTAAGCCCAAATAGATGAGGCTCTCAGTACGTCCTCCAGAACTATGAGCAATGATGTTTGAAACACCAGGCAAGGAGAAATATATACTATACTGTGATACCATTGGAGGTAATTCATGAAACCTGATCATGTAGAACTCTAAGAGCTACCTCTCCTTTATAATTCAAGGTGAAATATTCATTAGGAATTACAACAACTTCCACTTACAGGGCCAGGGATGGGTGTTGAGTGATTTCCATTAATTATCTCATTTAATCTTCACAATATATGGGCTAGGTACTCGTATTACTCTTATTTATAGATGAAGAAACTGAGACCCAGACAGTTAATTTGCTAAGTGTCAGATGGAGTTGAACACTGGAGCTAGGATTGAAAACCAGGTTGATCCGACTTCAGAGTTGAAATTCATTGTCATGTTATTGGCCTCTCCTTTTCTATGGGTTCTTAAAACTACTAATAGTTACTAGTAAGCTGTTTAGCAGGCTAATTAAAATAAAAAGGTACAGAGATCACATCACCTCTTTCCTTCCCAAAGGGAAGTCTGGGACTGGGATGTACGTTTGTCTTCCGAGCAGCACTAATTCTTTATTGGCCTGGGATAAAGAACCTTCTCTAACGTTGCAGCCTCATCTCCCATTAGGTTCCTACACAAATTCTATTCTCTGGACAATCAGAACTCTTCACTCTTCTCCAAACAAGGACTGGCCTTTCTCATAGGGACGCGGGAGTTACTTGCCATCCCTTTCAAATGCAATGCCTGCTGTTGATCTTGGCTCTTGAAATATTGACAGTTCTTTAATCCAGTTCAAAAGGCCCCTCCTCAGTGCCATCTCTTACCATCCAAATGAATATAATTCTTCCCTCTTGAGGTTTCAGAGAACTCATTCTGTACCACTCATGGCAATGGCCATATTCATTCTTTTATTAGACTATACGTTTGATTTCCCCTTCAGGGTTTATTTTTGCAACCCTGTTTGTATCTTTCATAGCAACTAACACAGAACTATGTGCATTATATATGGCTGCCAGATCTTTGTGAATGATTCAATCAATATTAAAACACTTTAACAAGAATTGTGCTTGCGTATGTGTATATGATGATAATAAGAACCTTGATCCAGTGCATTTTAACTTGCATTTCTCAAGAAAAATGACAATTTCAGAAACCCTGTTTGTTCACAGAACCTAAAGAAAATAAAATTAAGTTAAATACCACAGTTGAGTAATGTACTTTTAAAAATTAGCAGCAGTGTATCTGTTTAAATTTTTTTAATATGGTTTTTTAAATTGATTTAAGAGAGGAAGGAAGAGGGAGAGATAGAAACATCAATGATGAGAGAGAATCATTGATCTGTTGCTTCCTGCATGCCCCTTACTGGGGATCGATTCCGCAACCCAAGCATGTGTTGATCCATGAACCAGAAGGTCAAGGTCTGACCAGGAATGGAACCTTGACCTTCTGGTTCATGGATCAACACTCAACCGCTGAGCCACACTGACCAGGCTCGACTTTTCTTAATCCATCTACATGGGAATTTGGTTTATAAAAAGAATAGGCAAAATAAAAATATTTTAAAAATAGTTTCTAAATTAACTCATTGTTTGCTTATTCTAGGTGTGTAAGGCCTAATTACTTTTCTCTGGAGTGATAGCAGTCAATTATTCTAGAGGTAGTTGCTTTTCTGAAAAACAGAGATTAAATGTAAAAGTCTCAGGATGTGTTAGGCTCAGAGTGGGCGTAGCTGAATGTGGAGATGGGATGGAAAACAAATTCCAGAAGAACAAAAAGATATGCAAAAGCCTGGGATCAACCAAGTCCTTGGGAGGAAATCAAGCTTGCCTGACACAAGAGAACAGAGCCATCCGTGGAAATGGAGACAAATGAGAATTTTCAGAACTAAGAAGGCCAAAACAAACTGGAATATAAATGCGTAAGTGGAGCTCAAGCTGTGCCCATAAAACTCAATTAAGACAGGAGAAGTCATCTGGGGAGAAGCAGCTTCGGAAACAGTGTCAGGTACAAGACAAGCACTAGGTCAGGGAATAACGTACCGGTAGCAGAAAACAAGGCAAATGAGAGAACCAGGCACTGGCCAGGTAAGCAGCCAAGACAGCATCAGTGACAAGAGAAGCTCAAAAATTAAGCAACTCCAACCTCAGGCCAAGAAACCGCCTAAATACTTCCTTCTCCTGAGTGTGGCCAATTCGGACTCCAAGTGAATAACTTTGGGTGGATGGGAAACAGATTAAGAAACAGGGGAAAGGGAGCAGAAGTGATTGTACTACAACTACTGGACTTGCTCCGAGGAGGCTGCGCAGCTTAGAGAAGTTACAGCCCACTCGGTGGTTTCAAATGGCAGTTCCACTACTTCTTAGTCTGTAAACTTGGAAAATGACTTTACCTCCCCCAGTCTAAATTTCTCCATAAACGAAAGGGGAGAGTAGCATTTCTTATCCCAGGTTGTTAAAAGAGAGAATGTTTATTAATCATGTAGCAAGTAGTTAACACCCAAATAGTAATGACCTTTGGTCATAAATATTGTAGAGTTAATTTATGAAATCATAGTTGTGGAGTTTAATGTATCTATTGTTAATTTCGACTTTGGCTACGGCATATAGAGTCTGGCAGGATTATGTTGAACCCTTTGTGGTCCCTGAAATATTTGCATATAGGTACCTTGACAATTGCTCAGGGTTAATGCACGTAGAGCTTTGTCACCTAATGATAGATATCTGTGTGCACACATTATTGTGAAAATATAGGAGTTACAGACAAATTGACCATCTTGCTCTAAAACTTATTCCTTAAAGTGACTCTGGTTCCTTTAGCGATAATTAATCTCCGCTATGGCAACTCTTGCGTCATATTAGTCAAACAGAGATTTTTCTTGCCTAACATGGCTGAACACACTGTTTTGTTTCTACCAAACCACAAAAAATGAAACCACAGTCTACGATGCAAACCCTGTGTGGTGTGGAATGCTGCAAATAAAATCACTGCCAGGCCAGCTTTGTGTTTGATGTGGCCAATCTTCTCTTCTTCCAAACGACTGCACAATCCACTACCTCTTTTTCAAACGCATGAAAAGCACTGGTAACTTTCCCCGTTGACCTGAAATGTCCACAACTTAAAGCCATACAATGAGAAATACAAAAAAAGAGACTCCCTACAAGAAGCTTGAACTTAAGAATAATATTAAACAGTCTTTTTAGAATAATATAAAATAAAAAATTGTTGATGTCGTATAATTGATGTGCAGTAATAGGCCCACAAAGACAATCTGAAAACACAATTACATGACATGGATAAAAGCATGTTTTCCTTAAGTCATAAGCTACTGAGCTCTATGCCCAATCGTTTTGGAACTCAAATGAATCATTTTATGCACTAATAATATTAGTACTTAACTTGTCTCAAGACTTCAAAAAAATTAGTGAAAACAATGACTTTCATATTAAAAGCCCAACGTTTAATCTTAAATACTATGCCACTGTTATACATGCATTCCTTTAATATTTTCCAAGACTCAAAGAATCCAAATGACCACTCAGGTTGTGAAGTTAATATTCACCCATTGCTCTATGTCCCATTAAGCAGCTTCAAAGAACAGCAGAAACTACTGATATGCTAGATGCACATGGGAAATGATGTCTCATTTCATCTTTACAACCAACCCATCAGGTAGGTACTATTAAATGCCAGACAGAAACCCAGTTTCCAGAGTCCATTCTCTTAGCCACTATATAACATTCTGGAGAAATTTCGTTGTTATTTTTATTGTTTGTTTGCTTTTAACTCTAATAGTGCTAACCACAACCACCACGACTGTAATTTGCACAGATCTTGGCAGAAACATCCTGTATCTCCTAGGATACGGAACAGTAGTTTTATGTGGATAATCAAACTGTGTAAGCCAGAACAATCAGGACTTCAATGGTGAATGAGGAAACAGTTCAGACATGACAGAAACATGAGGGGCTGACTTTAATATCATTTGACAATTTTAACAATAATTAAGGTTACAGTAAATAAATAATTGAGTTTATGTTAGTGGTTTCATCGGAACAGTTGATGAAATAATAATTGAGAAAGCCATTGACTTAGAAAGGGGCATCTTGAATATGAGTGAAGATAAAAAAAATATTCAGTTTAAGGAATAAAGGATACATACAAAACATTCCGTAGGATGTTTTCTAATCCAACACAAGTCGCTCCAGCAGACAGCCCTGATCCTTACATGGTTTATCGCTACCCAGAAGAGAGAACCTGGGAAGTCCAGAAGCTAAGAAGATTATCAAGAAGGAAGTAGGTAAGCAAAGTAACATGTGTTAGATATTTAATTTTCTATCTTGGAGGAGGATGAGCGGGTCCTTCCGGTGTTTGCTGGGAAAATTACTGAGGCTCTTTCCTTCTTCCTCTAGAGCTAGATAACTCTAAAAGAATGTTGTCTGGCAGAAGAAGAGAGAAATAGAACTAGAACATGTAAAGCATTGAAATGTACTTGGTAGATTTCTTGAAAACAAGAATTCTGTACCAAGTGACCTTCCTCATTTGGACCTTACACTTATTTTTTTAATATATTTTTATTGATTTTTAGAGAGCAAGGCACATCGATCTTGCATTTCCCCTACTGGGAATCGAGCTGGCAACCTGGGCATGTGCCCTGATCCTGAAGGGAATAGAACCAACAACCTTTGGTGCACAGAACGACAGCACAACCAACTGAGACACACCGGCGAGGGGTGGAATTTACATTTCTAAGAGCATTACTTGTGTTTTACACTCTGCCAGTGGATTCAATACCCTCCACTCAGAGATTCCGATCTTATTTGCAAGGCACTTCTCTTCATAACCATAGAGTTTCGTCATGGCTCCAACACATCTTGTTATGCCCTAGGCCAGTGGTCGGCAAACTGCGGCTCGCGAGCCCCATGGGGCTCTTTGGCCCCTTGAGTGTGGCTCTTCCACAAAATACCACGTGCAGGCGTGCATGTACAGTGTGATTGAAACTTCGTGGCCCAGGCGCAGAAGTCGGTTTTCGGCCTGGGCGAGTCTATTTTGAAGAAGTGGTGTTAGAAGAAGTGGGGGATGAACACATAGAGAGGATGAACGAAAGGAGATAGACGAAACAAGTATACAAGACGAGTGTGGATGGGAGAGTTGGAAGAGGTCAACCTCAGCGAACGTACCTCAATCAGATACGTTCTAGCTTTAGCAAAGGCCGGCTTAGGAGTACCCTAATTAAGTTAATAACAATGTACCTACCTATATAGTTTAATTTTAAAAAATTTGGCTCTCAAAAAAAATTTCAATCGTTGTACTGTTGATATTTGGCTCTGTGGACTAATGAGTTTGCCGACCACTGGACTAGGCAGATCCCACATGGTCCTTGTGGCCATTCCCAGGTCTGTGGATCGTACTCCAAGGGCATAAGCACCAAGAAGACAGTGTTCACCAGACAGCCTAGGGATAAGGGGACCATAAAAGATCTCAAGAGGAAAAATTTGGTTCATATGAAACAAAATAATAAGCTTAGAGGGCCATGATTTTCACTTAAAGACTTAAGCTAGTATAACTAAAATGCTTTATTTTATCCTAAAAATGCATTTTCTTTATAGTTCCTAACTTTTGCAAAAACAAACAAACAAACAAAAATAGCTTTGGCATGAAAATCCTGATACATAAATGAAAGTGCAACTTAATGAATGTCATATTTTATAAGTCTACGTTTGAATTATCTGTTAAAATGAAGCCGCTACATTCTTTTGCATACAAAGCAAGCTCTGTTTTCTTTCAAGTGTTACCACACTGTGTAGAATTCCCCCCCCCCGCCCCCCAAGAAACGTGGATGGAGAGACGAAGGAGAGAAAATGACCTTCTTGAGTAATCTGACCATAGTTGTCATGCACACGCTGTATCCTTCACACTGGGATTGACAGTTATGTGCAGCTAGTACTTTACATTATACACTGAGGAGTCATTGCTAGTGGATTTTTTAAAAAGGTAAATGCACCATCTGCTACCTTTGCTGTCATCAACATCTCCAAATTATGTCTAGGGCCAAAGTCTAATTTATGGCCTCCAGATGTTATTACTTAGGAATTCGGTGTCAGAATGAATGATTCTGGATTGGAAAATATTTGGCAGGAGTTGATATACCAAGGAAATTCTATAGTCTCTGAAGTCAGACAACCTGGGTTCAATCATTCAGGCTCCCCCTGATAGATATGTCTGTGTGCACACATTATCTCTGTGACCCTAGTCAAGTTGCACAGCTGACTAACGCCTCCATTTCCTTATTTATATATGAAGATAATTAAAGTATCTTCCCCTTAAAATTGTTATGAGTGTTTATGGAGATAAGCTATATAAGTTCTTAGGGGCCAATGCATGGCCCTTAGAAAACACTTGGTAAACGCTAATTACCATTATTATTTTAATAACCTTAAGTGCTAACTCTAATATTGCCTTTCTGAAAAGTATTTCCAGCCAATTGTTTCAAAGTTATGGGCACAGGGGAAAAATAGCAGATCAATTTCAAAACAAGTTTATCAGAGCAGGGATGCTTACAGCCAACATCCAGAGTTATCTTGCCAGTTGCTCTTCCAGCTTCGTTGACAGCTACACATGTGTAATCACCAGCGTCGAGATCCTGAGTTTCTGGAATCTTCAAAAGTCCCATGAGAGGATCAATAATGAGAAAAGTTGAGGGCCTCAGCTCAAGATCCCCTAAATCAAAACAAAGGGAGAGCATTAAACATTAACATATTTACATAGTTTGCTATTAGTTTGATTTCAAAACTTCTAAAGAAAACAGAATGTAAAGTTTTTAACTACAAGTGTCTGGCACAATGTAGACACTTAAACAATGTTTTTGCAATGAAAGAATGAAGTGGTTCTTGGCACTGAGCTGATTAGTCTGTATAATTCTATGAGCTAACCTATGGCCAAAAATCTGGTCCCGCATGAATTATGTATAAGTATTTCCTACTGCATATGTATCTAAATAAGAACAAACTCTTTGAAGCTACATTGGGGGACTTGGAAAGGATGCCGGCTGTCACATGGCTGTGTTAAGTAGAAGGGCATGAGGAATGGGAAGATGAAGGTGGAAAAAAGATTTCTACCATCTATTTGGCAGGATGAATTTCAGTTACCCAGGAAAGTTCAGTTTAACCATAGGGCCATAGGTGTTCTTAGTTTGGTTAATGACCAGGTTTTGGTTTGATAAATGCTACTAGTCAGATTTTGGGTAAGCTGCCTGAGAGGATTCTGAGAGTTGGTAGAAAGGAGCTTGTTGGTAGAAGAATGGATGAGAAACTTCTGACAGTGGCCAAAGAGAGGCACTGTCATATCAATCTCCCAGGACACCTCTGCCAAATCTGTACTATTCAGCAAAGTCCTTTAAGTTGGAGTTATGGGGCTTTTGGAAGAAGCAGGCAGAGAATCCATGTATGGGGGAATGGTACTACATATTGAGTTTGACTTCAGTGTGAGGATAGGATGACTCAAGAAAGTTTTTTTATGTCTGAGTTACCTGTATGTGCTGTGTCCCTGCAACACCTCAAGTCCCTTAGAACCCTTCCTGTTTGAAGGCAGGCAGTGCCTCAACAAATCTATAAGGTAGGTTAACCCCTCCTTTTGCTTCCCCTCCTCCAGGCTGCCTCCTCTCTTAAGAAAGTAATTAACCAGAATGACCAATATCATTAAAAAGTGCCCAGTACTGGGTATTTAACACCAGCTTAGTGTTTATAAATTTAATTTGTTTTTGTAAAGGGTCATATCAAACTCTTTGTGGAAGTACTGAAAACATCCAGGGGATTTTAAGGCCATTGCTCTTTGGGTTTTATAACATGCCCAGCTGTCTGAAAAGATATTTTCCAACATATCACACAGTAGCCTAGCCATGTGCCCTGGGCCTGAGGCCCATAGAAGTAACTCCCTTAGCTTCTAATGGGCAAAGAAAACCCCCCAACTAGTCATTCTCTGGGACATTATTAAAAAAAACTCCAATCAACAGATTCTGGGCAACAAACAGACAATTCTCTTTTTGTTTTTTTAATTTTGGGAGGAGAAGAGGTCAAAGAAGCCATAAATTTAAAAACACAAAAAAATTACATTAGCAACCGCCAATGCCAAAAATGAAGTATTTTCAGCATTCCAATATTTAAAACCCCAATCATCCCTTTAAGCTTGCTACTACATACCAGGCGAGAAAGAGAAGCAACTAAAGGCTTGTCTATGTGCCTTTGGGAAATTTTCATAAATAAAAGCAGATGATGTTGACATAAACTTTCTTCCCACTAAGGGAGGATGCAATGTGACCTAGCTGTTCAACAGGAATTAAAATATTTGGACTAAAATGCATTTAGATTTTTGGAATTTACTTCTCCCTTATTTCTTCTGTATATGTCAGAGAACATTACAGGATGAAATCAAGACCTTTTTGCTAGTCTCCTTTTTTTTCCTTTTCAAAATAACATTCTTTGAAGAATAGCAGTAATGAAACAAAATACCAAGTGGAAGACATTGGTTAATCAAGTTTGCAGTTTGATCACATTTTAAGGATCTCTCCTTTCTTGATTTCTACTGAAAAATTAGCCATCAGATTATTGAGGAGCCATAGAGAAATACAAAACTTCAATATGTTTAATAGTTCAGAAAGTCATACATAGTAACATATAAATTTTCTAGGATTTAACATTAACATTGGGGAAGGGTCTCTTTGCTGTATTTAAAATTTAAATCTGGCCTCTGTGATGTAAAGACTAATAGAGAGATCATTATTCTTAGTATAACATCTTTTAAAATAGTTTATGGAAATTAAGTGGTTCTCAAAAATGTTTGTTTCCATGTTTGCCTTAAAAATTATTGGGTATTTCAAAGTATTTAAAAAATATTTACTTGTACTTTATTATATTTACTTGTATTTAGCATCTTAGAAAATGAAACGGGAAAAATTTTAAGTATATGAATATATTTTATAATGACAAACTCATGACATTTTGATATAATGACCGTATTTTATGAAAAAATAATTGTATTTCCCCAAACAAGAGAAATTTCATGAGAAAAGTGGCATTCTTTCACATTTTTGCAAATCTCTAGAATAATCTATTTTATTAAAAAAGGAGCTGAGTGTTCAAATTTGCTTCTGCATTCACTTTACTGGATGTCACATGTCAGAAATTCCCCCCCAAAACCCCGCTATAAATCTTGAGACAACAAGTGTGAAAAAGACAACATCTGAGTATTACTAGGAAAATAATTTTGATCCTGTGGATTCCCTGCAAAGAAAGGATTGTGGGGAATCTGAAGGGATTTGTGACCAACTCGACTTTAAGAACCACTGATTTTAGCAGAAATATCCTTTATATGACATTGTAACAGTGTCCCCAATTCTCCTTTGAACCCACTTTATGTTGCTCATTTCTAATTATGAAAAATCTAAAGTTTTGCTGGCCATCTGTACTTATGAAATTCCATTTCTCTGAGGGTCTGAATGGAATACAATCTACACTAATAAAAGGGAAACATGGTAATTGGCATACGACCGCTACCCTTTTCATTGGCTAATCAGCGAGATATGCAAATTAACTGTCAGCCAAGATGGCGGCCGGCAGCCAGGCAGCTTAAACTAACATGAGGCTTGCTTGCTTCAGTGACGGAGGAAACCAACGTTCGCGCCTGCCTTGCCGGCCTCTGAGCCTGCAGTTTCAAACATT